TTAAAATCGTATATAAGCGATTGTGGGCGTTAGAGGGGGCGTGGCACCCTTTTGAAACAAACTTGCGCTGCGTAGGTACTCCTAGAATCTGCATGCAAAATGTCAATCTTCTAGCTTTTATAGTTTCCGAGATCTCAGCGTTCATACAGACAGACAGACAGACAGACAGACAGACAGACAGACAGACAGACAGACAGACAGCCAGACGGACAGACAGACGGACAGACGGACATGGCTAGATCGACTCGGCTAGTGATCCTGATCAAGAATATATATAGTTTATAGGGTCGGAAACGCTTCCTTCTACCTGTTACATACTTTTGCACGAATCTAATATACCCTTTTACTCTACGAGTAACGGGTATAAAAATTGATTATTGACGAATTTTCTAAAAGGGACCCTGTACTGAATTAACTTTTACAAAACATGAATCATACCTCGCTTTACTTAATAATATGTAAGCTAATTAGCTACCTGCTAATGTGAAATATATTATTTGTTATTAACTCTCAGAATTTGTTCTTAGAATAATCAATAGATTGATATATTTTCCATTAACTTTATTAATTATTATTATATGTTCTAGTCTTTATATATATTTTTTAGCATGTAATTTTGAATAATGCAATTGAAAAGGCCACAAAAAACCCCTGATTATACATAAAAGTCAGCCCCACCACCTAATAGCATAGGGATTCCAAGTCCCCAGGGCTAGTCATCTCTAGCAGGCAAACATGCGCAAAACTGAACGATTTACTTTCATTCCAAAAAAGCGAACAAATCGATTTGTTCATACCAAAATCGAGCCCAAATGAAACCCAATACATGTCGTTGGCCAAGATGATTGGATTGGTATTTATAGCGGCCTACCTAAAGGAGTTGGAAATGTCAGAATGATGGGATTTTCGGGAGGTATGAAGGGAAAGGAGCTTAGACCCTCTTTTGAGTCCTCTCGACATCTTTTGCACAATAAAGATAGATAACCATCTATATAAAACGAGGGAAGACGAAGTGCGAGTACGAGAAACGAGCTCGAAACACTGGAATCGGCGCATGTCAGAAAGCTGAGGGTACAGCGTCATTATTATCATTTTCGGAACCTCCAGAGACTCAAGGGCCATCATCATCATCATCATCATCGTCGTCTGCCTACAGCCTCCGAAACCCAAGCGGCTTATGCCGAACCAACGGCCCAAATAAGAAGTAAGGGGTATTATAAACCTAAACAGAAACAGAGCCAGAGAAACAGAACCTGACTTGTTTCGCCATAATCATCAGAGATCCAGTTGGTTCTCACGTTTTCCGCTCGGAATGTACCTATATGGGCACTTCCAAAATGTCGCTCGGGACATTTGCACACCTTTAAAGTTGAAAAAAAATTGTAAAACAATGGATTTTAATTTTAATTATGGGCTTTTCTTTTCACTCTTCCCAAGCTCTATTTTTGTTAAAAATCTTGATTTTGTACCACTTTTAGTTTTTAAGATATCGGTAAAAAACTGCCGTATTCGCTCGGGACAAAAATAGAAGTGGATTTCGGGGAAGTTCATACAACACCAGAAATTAGCGAATTCTGATGGAATATTTTAATGCGATTTTTTTTAGAATGTTGTTCAAACATGTCGCTGTGAAGCGCTTTTGGTTTTACGTAAAAATTCTTTGCCGTTTTATTTTTATGCAGTTTCAACCACATTCGCTCGGGACATGTCGCTCGGGACATTTTTTCCGACTGTTTTGTAAAGCGGATTTCTTTACCTCTAACTCTCAATTGCTGGATGTTTTGCTTTTAACTTAATAGTTTAGCATGTGAATGAAGCATTCAGTACAGAAAAATGTCACATATTAGCATTCCTATAGGATAAATTAACAACAGAAGACAGGTCCAAAAAATAACAAATAAATAGCCAAAAACTGATTTTTGCGTATATTAGTGGAGTTTGTCATAAAAATAATCAAACTATACTCCAAATTTGTAGTTAAGCTCAGTATCCAACTAATTAGAAACTAATATCGGGGCAAAATCATGTGGAAATATGTTTTATTCAAGTTTCAAGGTTTTTGGCTCGGTGGACTTTTTTTTGGAAGTGCCCATATATACAGAAACTTATATCTGCACTCTAGATGAACGGGCATTCGTAGAGTCGCTCTTTCAGACGGGCTCTACAGTTTTGGCGAGCCATTCGTATTTGGCATACAATGGAAACGATTATGGCATCGTCTGTGTGTTTTGGCGATTAAAGGGGTCGATTGGGTGAGTCTGGTATGATGAAAGAATCAATACGATACGTATATGCAACTAAATGCCAGCCAAAGTAAATAAGTGAAATTGAATACATTTACAGGATGCCCATGGATAGAAGGGGCGATGATGAAACAGGTAATTTCATCATTTTTGTTCTTCCCACGAAAACTTTCCCATTATATGGAATGATCTCTTAAACGTTACTCATCGATGGTGGGTAATTTAAATGTACCAATTTATTGGGAATTTACTGTAGTGAAAAGTTAGTACGCATCAAAAAGCTTTCCCGATTTCCCAAACAATGAAAAACTTTTGGAGTATATATAAAAGATAAAATTACCTTCATAAACTTTTGGGTAGCATTGCATGGCAGTTAGTCACGCCATACTCTCAAAGAGCCACCCTTGTGGATGAAACAGTGAAACTCGACGATTCCGACACAATAAAAAAGTTACACCCAGAAGCGCTATATAAATGCTGTAAATAGAATAGGCCCCAGAGCCCAGACATTTATAATCCTAATAAAATGCTATGCCATAAGATATATGATATAAAGACGAAGGAATAAAAACGCACACAAATTTAATGCAAAACTCAGATAAATTACAAAGGGCTTTTAAAATAAAAGTTTATTAAAGGGATGCTTTGACTTTCGTTAAAAAAAAATTATAAGCACCCTTTCAGAATTATTAAAATATTAAACAAAATATGTTTAAAAATTGTTTCTAGTGAATAAAAAAAAATTTTTTTTTAATCACACCTATATTTTTATGAGTTCACTTAACATATAAGAAGGCATTATAACAGTACCCATTGAAAGAGTATTATATCATGGTTCATTGCATACCATTTTCATATTATTTCTGTACATCCACCGATCAAACATCATTGAGCTTCTGCCCCACAAAAATCATGTTAACTGCATCCAACTGGACATTTTTGCGCGTACATCCTCTTTGTCCTTCGATTGGCATATGTACTGTACCATACTATATATACCATATATACCGAACCCCGGCCAAGCTCGAGGGGAAAAGAAGAAGCAGAGGATGAGGTTGAGGTAGTTGAAGAGCTGTGAGCTGCGAGCTGTATATGTAGTCTGTCCTTTTGCTCGTCGTCGTACTATATATCCCTCGACGGCAATTCCGCTTTCAGGGTTTTATGTCAGAGCTCTTAACGCGCTGGGGTTTCAATTTTGTTTTGGGGCGCAGCCGTGTGGCAGTAACCTGAGCCAAAGTTGTGTTGTGTTTGCATTGATGTTGCTTCTTCTTCGTCGTCATCGTCGTCGTGTTCTACCTTTATCGGGGAACCCCCCGAGCACCTAACCCTACGAACACTCGTAGGTTTTCCTCTTCCGAGAGTCGAGCTATAGTCGCCGTCAGTCGACGAGTCTGACGTCGTCGGTCGGAAATCCTTGAAATGAAAGTCCTGGAGCCTCAGCTTCTGCTTCTGCTGCCCAGGAGGGCTGCCCTCGTCGGAGGATGAAACTCTGCCGCAATCGAGAACGGATGGCGTTGTAGCAATGGCAATGACGATGGCGATGTGGCGTTTCCAACGCTCCGTAGACCCGGTTGTGTAACCGTAACGCCCTCTATCCACACTGTAAAATATCTAACTAGATATCACTTAACATAAGAGGAGACTGGGGATAAAAAATATATCCCAAGTACACTGTAAATTTTAAAAAGAAATTCTTATCCCATCTAGAGACTCATGGACTCACTCTATAATATTTTATGTTTTTTGCGATTAATAAGTATAAGATAGAAAATAAAAAAATAATATTACAAAAAAATGAGAACAAAATAACAATTAAAAAAAAAAATAATAACAAAAAAAAAAATAAAAAAAAAGGTGATATAGAATATTTATAATCAAAGAACCAATTAATTAATTTGATCGATGTGTAGATTAACTAAAAATAATACATATTTAAAGAATATGATTTTTCTTAAGTGCCGAACATAAAATCAATAGGAGATAAATTTTTTTCCATTGCACGTATATGCTTAACATTCTACAAGTGTGAGTGTGATTATGGGGAGTGTCCACCTCCTGGCACCGCAAAGGTCCCTTGCCGGGATGCTGCCCTGCTGGCATCCGCTCCTCGTCCTTCGTCCTTCGTCCTTCGCCGCACCACCTCCGGCTGTACTTCCCATCCAGAATTGATGTAGCACCTACGGGGCACCGTACCATTTGCAATCCCCTCGCCATCTGCCCACTTCCGGAGCTTCTGCTCCACGCACGTTCAACTGCAACTTCAACTTCGCTGCAGGTCATTCGGACTCGCTCAATCTCATCCCACAATTCACATCGCGAAAAGTTTTAGAGGACGAACGTAAAGTTTTTAGCGCTGATTGTGAGTCTCGCTGGAAAAATGCCAAGCTATTATGTAACCTGGTCAAAGACCCAAAAGGGACCTGTGAACAGGTATTCACTTTGTGTAGAACCTTGAAAATCCCAAGGGAAGATTATATTTTTAGTAAATATATATAATAACCCTCTAAATTTGTAAAGTGTTCATCCGTTTTTGTGTGAACATTTTTTAAATCGAAATCAATTTTAGAAATACCTCTTTTTTTATTTCTTATTATTTTTATTGAGACTCGCAGTAAACTAAAGTTCTTAATATAAAGGAATTCATTTGTATGTGAAAGTATAAAGTTAAGTCAACATTCATAGTAAATTAAATTTCTTAAGTTAAAGAAGTAAACGAACTTTTTTTTTACTTAAATCTTGCCTTACAAATAAAGCCAGTATTTACACCCTTCATGGGATATTTCTACTACAACAAATTACGTAAAGTTCATACACTTTCAAACTTAAGGCATAAGTATTTGGTTTTCTTCCTACTCCATGGCTTTGTCCTGTTCCTCATTCTTTTTCGCGCCGCTCTCGAAGATCTTCTCCAGCTGGGTGAGCAGCCCGATGGCTCGGTAGTTCTCCTCCATCAGGGCGAACTCCTCGAGGGGCTTCAGCAGACGCAGTGCATCCTTGTAGCTCTCCACGCAACGCGGCAGATTGGCCTCATCGCTGGTCTCCGAATAATGACCGGGACTATTGGCATGTGGTAGCTCCTCTGTGTCCAGAAAATGTCTCACTGAGCGATTGAATCTTCTGAATCTTCAGGCCACAGGAGATTTCTTCTTCATCCTCCTCCAACTTCCGTTTAGTTCCCCTCTCCAGAGAGTCGTCATCCTCATCATCCTTGATTTCTATGAGCTCAGGCGGCACCTCGATGGCCACACAATCGTCATCGTCCTCGGGCTCCGCATCCTCGGGCTTTGGTTCCACTGGGGGAAAGTGGACCAGGCCCGCCTTCAGTTGATCCTGCGTCTTCTTGTGGGCCAGCGTAATCTTGTGCTCGTTCCTCCCACAATAACTGACTATATCCCGGAGATCCAGAGACAAAGGCACCCGACGACTGGTCGCCGGAACTCCCACGGAGAAGGTGAAGTTGTAGCGACTCTTGAAGTGCTTGAACCAAACTTTATCGGGGAAAAACGACTCGATCTTGAGAATATCCCTTAGACTAATAGCCACCGATCGCAGATTGTCCATGTCCAGGCGACCCTTGTTGTGCAACTGGGATCGCTGGATGTACTCGTACATGCACTTTTCCAGAAAGGCAATCTTTCGCTTGCGACGCAGGTGCACCTCATCCGAGGTGGCCTGATTCTGGGTGGAGGTGGCCACCAAAGTCTTGGTGCGATACAGGGAACGATCGACGACCGATGATCTAGTGCTCACTCATCTGCGACGTCATCAGGGGCGAGGCTTCCGGTGATCTCGGCACCAGACTGCAGGCCATCGAAGTGTGTCGTCCGCAGTAGGACATTATGTCCCTCAAGTCCATCGATCTCGGGGGTCGCCGGGTTATGGTGATCTGCCGATTCGACAGGGTGATGTTATAGGCCGCCTTGAAGTGATTGATCCACGGCTTGTTCGGCACAAAGCCATCCAAACGCATGAGATCCCGAAACTCTATGGCCCGGTTGCGAATCATCTCCTCGTTGATGTCGCTGTGCAGATAAAACTGCGCCCTTTGGATATATTCGTACAGGCAGTGGCCCAGAAAGTTCAGCTTGCGCCTGCGCAGCTCGGCATCCTTGTTGGCCGGCTGGCTCAGGCGGTTGGTCGCCTCCTGGAACTCCAGTATGGCCTCGCGATTCGTCACTATGCTCTTGATCTGCTCCCAGCTGCAGTTGAAGTTGCGAGCTATCTTGCTGTACATCGGCACTATGTCGTACTGCCGGATGGCGGCCACCCGCTCCTCCAGGGTCAGCACGTTCCGGATGCGCTGACCTCCATTCGGTTGTTCGTGGCCGTCGTCGGTCTGCAATTGGATGGTGGTTAATTTAGTAGTTATCATGGAAATGGGGCAGCAATTAACTGGGGCAGAAATCGATACCAACCACAATGTACCTTTATTCTAGCAAAATCCTAAATTGAGTCTTGGAAAAAATCACATAATTTATTTCACCTAATTTAAGATTATAATCCCTAATAACTAATAATACTTTTATGCTAGAAAAATCTGAAATTAGGTCTTATAAAATTAACATTATTTAAGATTATACTACCTAAGAAATAATGAATGCTATCAACACTAGTCAATATACAAAAAAAAAATCCTACTGTATAACTTTTCCTTAATCGAAAAATCGTTAATGTTTAAATTTATCATATTTTATTACATTTTACTTTGTTCAAGTATCTCTTTCACTTTTTAATTTACTTTTACTTCTTTAACTTTTTAAATTAGTCATTGTCATGGAGGAAGTAATTTAAAATGGAGGAAGTAATTGCAGAGGTTATTTATAAAACAATTATCGCAATTTGGAGAACTACACCATTACTTTTCTTATCTAGCGCTTTAATCGAAAAGGGTTAATAAAAAGTTGTAATCCTGGAGATTAATCGGTTTGTACGCCTCCTTATCGTTGAAATCGTACTATTCGGTTCAGTCTATTTTCATGCACTTAGCAGCCAAGTAGAAAGCACTGGTGAATGAAAAGAACAATTCCTAATTTTGTTGACTTTTTTAATATTTAAGTTTAACTTTGAATGAAAAATGGCGGAAAGCTATTATGGAAAAACCAAATTGATAAAACGGCTTAGCAAAGTAATTGCAATATTCATTAATGAGAACAATATGAACCTGCAATTGAACGATTCTTACACTCTTAAGATCGAACTGAAGAAATATGAAATTCAATTACATATATCTGAAAATATAGATGGGGCAAGTAATACTCAAAGCCAAAAGGAAATTTCTGTTTTAAAGGAAAAAGTGTCTAAATTGGAATGCGCAGCTGCCAGTAATAATGCAAAATTAAAAAATAGTGATAAACACATTGCCGGTCTAGAATCTAAACTTATGGATTATCGCAGAAAAATAGCAGCTCTAATTGAACAAATGGCTGAAATGGAGTACGTATCACACCTATTAAAGGAAAAAATTAAATATACAACCGAAATGGAATGTGAAGTGGCGGTCTGTAAAAATGAAATATTAACTTTAAGAGATGAAAAAGGGAAATTGGAAACTGCTGCATTTGAACGAAATGAACAATTAAAAGAGACAAATAAAGAAATCGAGCCTGTTTCCGAAAAATTTAACGAAAAGATTAAAAACACAACTGAACTGCAATCTAAACTAACAATGTATAAAAATGAAATATCAAAACTACGGTTTCAAAATTCGAAATTGGAATCTACCGCTTTTGAGAAAGGCGCACAATTAAAAGCGAAAATGCAAGAAATGGCCAGTCTAAAATCTACAGAAACGATTTACCAGCGAGATATATCGACTCTTCAGGAAAAAATGGATAAACATCAGTCAATAGTCGTCGAGCAATCTAACAAATTGGTAGATTACGATAAATACATCGCAGAATTGGAGACTAAGGCGGAACAAGACCGAAATAAAATAACAACTTTAGAGGCAAAGCTTAAAACGGTACGTTGGGATCTGCTGCTTTTAAAAAAACAAATAAGTGGAGAGGAAAGACTAAAAAGAAATGAAATTAGTAGCCCATAGACCAATTTCGGAGATTTTCCTAGGCAAACAAAGTTCAATTGGGAAGTAGTTTTTCTAAGTTCCTAAAAGATTTTTAAATAAAATAAATTACAAAAAAATATGTGTTGGAAATCTATGTTGAGCTAAAATAATAGTGATATGACTGGCACTTTCGGAGAAGTAAAGTCTAAATGTATTATTGAGGTATTGGCCACACTCATTTCCACAATCAACCATTTTCCCACCTCGCACCAATGTATTTTATAGATTTCCTTAAGCAAAGCAACGTGCAATTAGCTGGTGAGTACCTCTTGTTTTTAATATTGTGGAATTTAATTTAATTTAATTTTCTTAGCTAACGCAAAATGGAAGTCCAACGAGTTTACTATGGAAAAGCTGAATTGATCAGGATGATTAGCAAAACAATTGAAAAGTTCTTTAGTAAAACGAACCTAGCCATGAAAATACACGATTCATACATTATTAAAATAGAATTTAAGAACTATGAACTAAAAGTTCATATATCAGAAAAAACCGCTAATGAGATCAATATAGAAACACAAACGAAAACTATTAAAAAACTAGGCGAAAGAGTTGTAGACTTGGAAAGTGCAGCCGCCATAAATGACGCACAATTAAATGATAAGATTAAGTGCATTGCAGAAATGGACTCAAAAGTGAATTCTAAACAATGTGAAATATCGACACTGAAAGAAAAAATTGATGAACTGGAGACCGCTGCCTTTGAGAGTTCAAAAATATTTACCAAGAAAATAACCGAGATGGATGGATGGATGACCAGTCTTCAAAACACTATTGAGGAACTAAAAAGTGCTGCTATTGAAAACTGCATCCAACTAAATGAGAAAATTAAAGAAATTGGTTGCTTGGAATTGACTCTTAAGGAAAAAAATTCTGAACTAGAGTCTGCTTCACTTAAGTATTCAACAAAAACCGAAGAAATATCAAATTTGAACAAGAAAATTACTGAACTGGAGACCCTTGACTTTGCCAGCTTGGAAAGTACAATAAACACTCTCGTTAGTAAGGGTAATGCCTTATCTTCAGATGATGTATTTCAAAAAAGATATTTTATGAATTTGTGTAAGTTTCGGGTTACAGAACTTTTAAGAAACGAGGCCCAATGATAAAATAAACATGGCAAATTATTATTAATAAATTTCTAAAAATTAAAGATATTTGTTATGGCACATAATACTTAAAAATTGTAATTAGTTAATTCAGTATTGTCTTTTTTGTTGTTTTTTGTAGGTATATATTCTATCCTATCCTATTCAAACTTCCGATTTTGTTCTATCTCTTTCAAATTAAATAAATATTTATTTATTTATTTCTTAAAAGGGTCGTACTCTCTTTCAGTAAGATACAAAAATAGGTAAAGAGAAAAATGGCAGGTATCGCAGTCTTTGCGCTCAGGTACTCACTATAACATAAAAGTACTTACGTCAGAGAACATTTCTCACACATACAGACACATATGCGATACGCTCTTCGCCACGCTCTTTTAGCTTGCCCTCTCCGATGAAATAGCAATGTCTGAAATGAAAGTTATTCTAAATAGTTACAGCTATCAAACAATGGTGAAAATCTATCTTACATACCTTTTAGACACTGTTTAAAGCATATAATAATTACTAAACAAATGTGCAGCAGTTTTTTAGGCACAACAAACACACGAAATCGGCGGCGTCACGTTTTAAGAGTTTTCAGAGCGGTTGCGAATCGAAGACTGAAAAATATATGTACATACTGCCAGGCAAAAGTATCTGAGATCTGGACTCTCTGACGCTCTCAGAGAAAGAAAAACCGGATCTTTGCGAGCGTTACGAGAGAGAAATTTCGCTCTTTCCTCTCGCCTTGCGATCAAAACCCTCTTCTGCCCTCCCCCCGCGATCGAGTACTATATCTTTGTGGTATAGTATGGTATGGCATGGTTTGCCTGGGTTTTATTTTTAGTAGGATCGAGAGTAAATAATCTCCCGCCAAAGCAGCTATAACTGGTTTTACATGCCAAAATACACAAATCGCATTATCACTTAATCTAAACGAGAACTGGTTTGAAATTTAAAAGCTATTTCCATATATTTTTCAGGTGAATTCCTATCTAGTGCTTCACTTAACTTTTACTTACCAGCTGAATTTCTCTTCATGAATTCGTATACAGTAAACGGTCGTTATGGTGAATCAATAAAAAGGGTCTTTTAAGTTTATGTAGAACATGATCTGTTTTTGGTTAGAAGGTTTTAAATATTGTATTCGTGTTTATTACATTAAATTCATTTTTAGTATTGTATTGTATCCTTTTCCTTGCCATCTAATTAAGTTTAAACCCGACCCCATCGGATGTCTATTTCTTAAAGTTCATAAGAAGAATTATAAAGATATTTGACTTTATTTGGTATTTTAGTATTGCTTATTGTAATGCCTACTTAAACTTGTCGATTATCGCTTTTGCGCAGTTTGTATCACCATCAGATGATTTCGCCAGTTTTCTAGCAGTGTAGTAATTTGATAGTTCTTGTTGGTAGACTTTTACAAGAGACTCCATATCCTCTTCGTACTTCATCTGGCCAATATGCTCATTACTTTCCTTGAGTTGCCTTTGAGACTCAATTGCAACGGACTGCAGTTCTGAAATTTGTTCCTTCAGTATGAGTTCATTGCTGTTTTCCTTTTTTGGTGAATAGTTTATCTTAATTGTGTTCCTTAGAGTTGATATTTCTTGGTGGTATTGTAAAAGTTTACACTCCAACTTGTATATGTACTCAATGTTCTTATCGATTAATTTGGAATTATGAAAAGCAGCAGACATCAGATCAAGAATTCTTTCCTTTAGTGTCGATATCTCACTTTTGTAATTTTCCATTTTACACTCCATCTCAGTAATGCTTTTTGATCTTTCAAGGGCAGCAGACTTTAGTTCAGAAATATTTTCCTTGAGAGACGATATCTCACGCTTATTAGCTACATCTTTAGATACCAAATCCGCGATGCACTTTTTCTTATCAACTAATTGTGCGTCATTCATGGCAGCTTGAATTTCTAAGTTTGCCACTTTATCCCCTAAATTTGCAATTGTTTTCTTTTGGATTTTTTGATTAATATCTTTATCGATCTCGTCAGCTGTTTTTTCTGATACATCTAACTTTATTTCAAAGTTTTTTAATTCCATTTTAATACTGTACGAGTCGATTACTTTCATATATAGATTGTTTTCATTAAAGAGCTTTTCTATTGCTCGGCTAAACATAGTAATCAAAGTTGTCTTATTATAAACACGTTGGACATCCATTTTTCGTTCACTAGGAAAATAAAATATTATAATAATATTTTACCTTAAAAATTTAAACAACGTGTACTTACCAAATAATTAAACGTTGCTTTGCTCAAAAATACATTAAATGAATGCGTATCAGGTACGAAAATCTGTTCATTGTACAAATAAATGTGGCCGGACCCCCGCTAATAAAGATAAACGTAGGTTTTCAGAAAGTACCAATCTTATCAGAAATGTTTCGGTTTTCATTTTCGCCTTATAATAAGGAACCGCCATTAAACCGAACCACCAGAAATTTAGATGGTAATATATTTTTATTTATTTATTAAATAGGTATATATACATCAAATAAAATCACCTCTTAACGAAGTAAAAAACTAGTGACGATCGCAGCTTTAACATACAAAAGTTCTGATATCAACATTTGTGACGAAAAATTATTACACTCGTCATTAAACATTTTCTAACATTTTCTGATTCCGCCCTAGCAAACTATTCCAGCCTTTCTCCCTTCACAGGCATTTTCTATTGCAGCGCACACTGGGGTGAGAGACCCCAATAATGACGATCAAATCAGCCGACAAAAAATTTGAACATGTTATGTGCAGCGTGCGAATTTTTGACGTATTTAATGACGAGTGTTATAATTTTTCGTCACAAATGTTGATATCAGAACTTTTGTATGTTGAGAGTGCGATCGTCAAAATACCTTTAAAACGAGGAATAGTGCAAGTCTGTATTTTTAGTAGTACAGAAGTTACGGCCTTCCGAAATTTCGCCATTTCCAAAAGTGGTAGAACTAAAGTTTCTTATATCGATTTGTTTAACACTATATAAAATTTTCAAGACTTTAAAACAAGGGGTTGGGACAGACAGACAAATTGACAAACAGAATAAAATTTTAATTTTGGGAAGAAGAATAAAATCTTGTTTTCGGTATAACTTTTGAACGGAGCATCAGATTTTATCATATGACGCCTCATTCGACGCGTATTTTCAATGGGAACACAACTAAAATAACAGATCCAACAGATCCAAAATTAGAAAATTAAAGACTTGGAATGCAATCCTGTTATGTTTTATTTTAAAATTGGTAAGCAGAATAAAGGTTATCTGATAGTCGGGTCTTTCGACTATAGCGTTCTTTCTAACTTAAGTAATAAATGTTACAAATGAAATTTTTTTTTATCTGTTTGGCATTAATGTATAATTATTTTCAATGGCTTACAAATAAAAACGCTACTCACTAGACCTGACATAAATAATCTCCATCTTTTAGGACCTCAAATCATTACTCGTAATCTCCCTAAATGACCTAAAATTTAAATGATAATGTGTTGGTTTGTTCTGTGTCAGTTCCGCGTTGCCCATTTCCTTGCTGTTTTCATTTTTTGGTTTCTCAATTTTGTTCCTTAGATTTGATATTTCTTCTTGGTATTTTAAAACTTTAGACTCCATTTCGGTTATGTACTGAATGTTCTTATCAAATAATTTTGATTTTTTAGAATCAGCAGACTTAAGATCAAGAATTCCTTCCTTTAGTGTCGATATCTCACGTTTGTAACTTTTCATTTTACACTCCATCTCAGTAATGCTTTTTGATCTTTCAAGGGCAGCAAAAATACTTTCCTTTAGAGACGATAACTCAAGCTCTTTAGCTATATCTGTAGCCATCATTTCCGCCATGCACTTTTTTTTATGAACCAATTGTGCAGCCTGGCTTTCGAGGACAGCTGACTTTAATTCAGAATTACTTTTCTTTGGGGTCGATATCTCAAGCTCTTTATCTATATCATTAGTCACCATTTCCGAAATGCCCTTGTTCTTATCAATCAATTGTGCGTCATTCATGGCAGCTTGAATTTCTAAGTTGGCTACTTTTTTGACTAAAATCTCAATTGTTTTCTTTTGGATTTTTTGATTAATATCTTTATCGATTTCGTCTGCTGTTTTTTCTGATACATCTAACTTTATTTCAAAGTTTTTTAATTCCATTTTAATACTGTACGAATCGTTTACTTTCATGTATAGATTATTTTCATTAAAGAACTTTTCTATTGCTCGGCTAAACATAGTAATCAAAGTTGTTTTATTATAAACTCGTTGGACTTCCATTTTTCGTTCACTAGGAAAATAAAAAATTATTATTATATTTTACCTTAAAGATGTAAACAACGTGTACTTACCAAATAATTAAACGTTGCGTTGCTCAAAAATACATGAAATTAATCCGTATAAGGGTACGAAAATTGTCTGATTGTACAAATAAGTGTGGCCGGACCCCCGCTAATGAAGATAATCGTAGGTTTTTTAGAAAGTGCCAATCTTATCAGCAATGTTTTGGTTTTCATTTTCGCCATTTAATAAGGAAGTTCCATTAAACCGAACCACCAGAAATTTAGATGGTAATATATTTTATATATAGAAAATTGTATTATTATAATTATTCATGAACCTTTAGGAGGTAAGAGTAAAGGATATCTGATAGTCGGGGCATTCGACTAAAGCGTTCCTTCTAGCTCGAATAATTAATATTAGGTGAAATATGTTACAAATGAAACAAATTTTTTTATCTGTTTGGCAGTCATTTAAAATTATTTTTAATGGCTTACAAATAAATACGCTACTCACTAGACCTGACATAAACAAGCTCCATCTTGTGGGACCTCAAATCATAGATCAAAATCTTCGTTCTGGGGAGGATTAATGATGGATTTTTCAACTTCTGTAAGCAGGCCGATGGCCCGGAAGTTATCATTCAACATGGCGTACTCTTGTAGAATTTTCAGGTATGCTAGAGCACTATTTTTACTATCGATGGATTTTAGGGTATTTTGTATGGATGTGACTATTTTGGGGTCGACCGAGTCTTTACTGGTGACATTGTCCTCCTGCTGATTATAGTACATGTTATATATTATTTTGTATTGTTTTTTTGATTAATTTACTCACCTCAAAAGCTTCAACTGCTTCGGATTTTATAGCTACGATAACGGGAAATAGTTGGGGAGGCTTTAAAAAATAAGTTCAGATGAAAAATAGTTCTTACATTTAAATATAGAACTTACTGTATTTACTTTGTCACTCGATATAGTTTCATTTGGAACTTGCGCTGTTCGAAATCGTTTGGAATTTGGTTCCTCATGTTGCTCAGGCGATTTTTCAATTCGAATCAACTGAGGAGAATAAAGAAAACCAAGGGTTAAATATATGTAGTTCTTAAGATTTAAACAGGCACCGTAAATAAAAGTTATTTGTGATTTTTATTTTACGAAATTTGGAAATTATTCAAAATATTCAGATTGCCTTTTTAAATAAATATTACAAATAACTCCTCTTTAAAAGTATACCTCACCTTTTGAACTTTGACAACAGGTATACGTGGACCTGGCGTTGTTGGTAATCTCTTCTTGCTTGGATTTTGTTCCTCTGTTTGGCCATTCAGCTGTTCAACTCGGCGAAGTAACTGTGCCTGTGGAAAATATTTATTAGATTAAAGCGTAACCTTTAATCTTTAAAATCAGAATTACCTTATTAACTCCCGCTTTCGAGATAGTTACTGACCACTGCCCTCGCTTAACTCCGGTTGCTCCAGTTTGAAGTCCACTTTGATTGTGTTTCGCTGGTTCCACAGGAGATTGTACACTTGGGCCAAGAAGCTGAGAAATCTGTTAAAAGTATTTTAGGGTTTAGAAATAGTTAATACATTTATAGAAAAAGATTTACCTTATTAACTTTGTCATTCGAGAAGGTTTCAAATGGAACTTGCGCAGCTCGAAACCGTTTTGCGCTTACAATTTTACCCCCACCCGTTTCGAAATAGGCCTTTTCAATAGCTTTCTTTTCTATAGACTTCAATTCCTCGATCTCGTTTGAATTAACGGGCTAAAAATAAAATGTTAAAATTTAATTTGGTAAAATATATTTTTAGAATTCTACCTCTATTTCTATTTTGATAGTCGATTCCTCTGAACTGGAATCCATTGGCAAAGGAACTTCTAATTCATTCGACTCCACCTGCAATATAGTATTAGTTGATATTCTGACCTACAATCAGGTGATTCCTACCGTGTTTGGAGTTGATTCATTGATATTATTTACTTTATCCTTGGCCTTGTTTTTATCATCAGCCCATTTTTTGCATACTCTACAAAGCTTTTCTTGTCCTTGTTTATTCATCTTAGTGAGAAATGCACATCTCTTGCAGCCAGTTTGATTGGCATTATTTTTGTCTTCCTTTGGTTTCTAAAATGGGTTTCGAAGTTATTAAAATTTACCATTTACTTGTAATATTTGGCTCTACTTACGGATGCGTCCAAAACCATGGCTTCGTGCAACTTTTGACTTTCTGTTTTGGGTTTTTCTTTAGGTTTCGATTTTTCTTCTGGACTCTGAAACTGTGAAGAAACTGAATTTACATATAAACTACCGATCGATTTAGATCATATTATAATGTAGAAAATATTACTAATTTTAGAGTTTTGTCAAGATAATCATCATTAATTTGTATACAATTTAAATATGTAATCTGCCTGGTCTTACATTTTTTGGCTTCTGAAGCAGCTGATCGCTCCTGACGATCCTGGCCTTTTTCAGCTGGTCCAAGCGATCCTGCCACCGCTCGCAGAGTCCCTTGGTTTTGTGCTGCTCCCGCACCAGTTGAAAGGAGTTGGTCACGTCCTCCTTGCGAACCTTGGGATCCGTCTCCTTGACGATCTTGGACCTCAGGTCGGCCAGGCGACTGTTGACCGCGGTGAGGATCTCCCGCATTTGCTCGAGATGCTTGGTAACCTTGTAAATCTCGGCATCCTGCAGGTGAACCAGCTTGAGCCTGTACTTGGTAATGAGTTCCCTGGCCCGAACCTGCTCCTTGGCGAACAGCACGGTTTTCTCCCTGTAGGTCGCGAGCTTCCTGGGAGCTTTCTCCTTTTGGAGGCAACCACGCAAATACTCGAGTCTGCTGTTCGTATCTTCAAGATACCTAGAGGCTCTACGTAGATTGGATTCCGCGGTTGCGAAGGCGCTAGCCTTCGGCGGACGAAATCCAGGTGGCGCAGGCCCAAGTGCAAATACCCTGGACTGTAAATTATCCGGTAAGTTCACTTTTTTTGCCATGATTTTAAAATAATGAAGAATTTCTTAAATATGTGTCCAGGGCTGCCGGAATTTGGGAGCGGTATTGCCAAACTGCTCCATTTGGTGTTGCCAGTGCGGAGTTATCGATTGGGTTTTTCCAATTTTTATGGAATTTTCAGAATTTAATAAACTGTGTTTAAACTGAAAATGCATATATTTTTCAATTTCACATTTACCAATTTATAATTTAATATTTTGAATTTTATTTTAAATTTTTTAACCAACAAGATGCAAAAACAATACATTATATTGCCAGATTGGCAAATTTTAGTTAGTACCTACACCTTGTGTTGCCAATACACAGTTGCACGAGTTAGTTCTTAAAATGTTGTATGAAATTTAAACATTTAATGAAAATGATTTTCCTCTTTCTTTGACAAAATAAAGCCTGTCGAATGTTATTAATTATGATGCCAGATTAGTTGATTTAAGTCAGTTCCTAAACCACATTTCATCAGGTCTGGTTCTTGTCTTCGCTCGATTTTGTTCACTATTGCGATAATGCCAGATTTATACATTTTATTAAAAAGAAAAATATAATTGAATGTTTTAAATTAACTAAATTTATTGTAACTATTCTAGTTATTTTTAATGCTTATTTATGAGGACATTTTACGTTTGTTCCACTTCGAAATCGTCGCCCTTCGCCGGATATTGAATGGCGTGTTCCGCCTGCATGAGCAGTCCGATGGCCCGAAAATTGTCCTTGACCATGGCGTATTCCTGGAGAGCCCGCAGGTGTCGCAGTGCCTCCTCCATGTTGCCGATGGACAGCTCGTCCTTGGGCTCATTCGAATCACTCGGTTCATTGGGTTCTTCGGGCTCGGCGGCATTGAAGACCGGGATCTCATCCATTTCCCTTGCCGGTGGTTCCCTTCGCGCCTTGTAGCTTCTCCTGGCGACTCTGGCATCCACGTCCTCGTCCTCGTGCTCTAATCTTTCCTCCATCTTTCGCTTGCGATACTGACGAGCCGCCCGGGGCGCGACCGTCTGGAGGGTGGTGCCCATGGACAACATCCTGCCCTTCATCACCTCGCCAACCCTTGTATCCCCGGCGGTATTGTCATCGTCGCACAGGAACGTATGCATCGCCGAGTAGTCGTCCATGGTGAGGACCTGCGTCCACGGCACCGGCTCGTCCTTCAGGAGCGCCGTCATCTCGTCGTAGTACTGCCAGTTGGGATGGTACTGCGGTCCCTTCGCCAAGTGCTTGCTCCGGATGCAGTAGTAGGTCTTCTTCAGGTTCCTGAACTTCCGATCCAGCTGAATGGCGTCGATGCCCGTCATTCCCTGACTTTCGAGCGCCACCACCATTTCTCCCCAGACGTCTTTGATCTTTCTCTTCGGATCTCGAAAGTCCGCCTGTCGCTCCGTGTAGAGGGCCAGCAACATCCTGGTGTTGGATGCATTCCACTTCTTTTCGTCGTCTGTTGAGCATTCTGGTTAGATTGGTTTACACTTGTATATTTTACCTACATTTTAGCTCCATTGTTTACGGATAGCAACCCCGAAAAAAGTTGTCTTTCCCAGGCTGCGCATTTATTGGACGGCGTGGCCGTGTTGTTATCGCGGGGGGTATCATGATCCAAACAGCTGGTTGCGTTTTGTATCTATCGATAACTATCGATGGGCGAGCACAAAATGGAGATGGGAATGCGGTTTGTTTTTTGAAATTGTTCTTAATTTAATAACAAAATATGTGTACCATGTGTAACATGTATACTTTTAATCAACCCAATAACAGATATCGACGACCTTCAATAGCTCAAACAATCAAACAATACAGCAAATTTCATTTTGTTTTATTACTATCAAAAATCAGGGAACAATCATAGGATCATAAAAACAATGAGGTTTAATACAAAGTTATTTGTTATAATAGTTAACATTGTCCAAAATATTACTCATATTTGAATTCGTAAAATCTGCAAGGACAATCAAACTTCGGCTTGAAAGATGTCCTTAAAATATTTTTAAAATTTTGGAGAAGAGTTTTTTTTTTGTCGGAATAGTTGTGAAACAGTTAATCCGTATGCTCGAAAACCTTTCGAAACAAGGTGAACGGTTCTATATGACTATTTGAGATTTGTTATACCCGTAAAGTAAATGGGTATATTGTATTCGTTGGGAAGTATTTAGCAGGTGGAAGGAAGCGTTTCCGACCCCATAAAGTATATAAATATATTCTTGATCAGTATGACTAGCCGAGTCAATCTAGCCATGTCCGTCTGCCCGGCGCCCACATTTTTCCAGATTTTGTAAAATTGTAAATGCTATTTTGTTGGGATTATTAATACCTACACTCAGAAAAAACAGTGTAAAATTAAGAGAAATGTTCTTAAATTAAGAACATTTGGTCATAGGAATGAGGCCGTACCGATTGTTCCTAACTTTAAAGTTTAAACACTATGTTTTTAACTTGAGACACTATGTTCTTAAATCAAGAAAAATGTGTGACTAAATTTAAGAACGATTTGTCTTAATTTTTTGACGGTTTTTTGTCATAAAAAAAATAAAAAATTTTATATGTTTTATATATTTGGTTTTTCGTTTTCTTGAACTTGTTATCTTCTGGAACTTCCTTTAGCTGAGTAATGGGTATTATTCATTTGTTTAAAAAGTTCATGAAATTCTGGAGGCCAATCACTGACAATAGTATATCCAGATACATCAACTCTGATGTAGGCACGCCCCTAGATGGACAGCCCCCAAGGCAAGGACTAAAAATGCCTGCAAAATAAAATTTGAATTACTATTGACGATAACTTGCAGGACTCCTGCAACTCACTAGCAATTTCATTGTGGTCGTAGTTTCGAATGAACTGATACTGCAAAAGCTGAGTATTTATGGGCAAGCAAATCTTCGATACAATAGTGGCGAGCGCAGATTTGGAAAATCCATTAAGATTCGTATCTAGTCGGAATTTCCAAACATATTTTATGATTTATTTCTTATGGCAGCTAAAAATTACAAGAAGATAGAGCAAGCAACTCACACGTGCGAGTTTAAGAGTCCCTTACGCTACCAAATTGAATATGCTATACTATCTGCTGAAAGTTATACCACCCGATGCTAGATGTCGCCCAATAACATTCACAACTCTACTTGTAAATAAATAATAAATGAATATGCCAGAGTTAGATGGCGTCTCAAAAATAATGTAGAATTGAGTGTAAAATTATTCTTCTTCATACGCACCGTAGACAATTTGCAATGGTCATTATACCCGTTACTCGTAGAGTAAAAGGGTATATTAGATTCGTGGAAAAGTATGTAACAGATAGAAGGAAGCGTTTCCGACCCTATAAACTATATATATTCTTAATCAGGATCACTAGCTGAGTCGATCTAGCCATGTCCGTCTGTCCGTCTGTCTGTCTGTATGAACGCTGAGATCTCGGAAACTATAAAAGCTAGAAGATTGACATTTTGCATGCAGATTCTAGGAGTTCCTACGCAGCGCAAGTTTGTTTCAAAAGGGTGCCACGCCCCCTCTAGCGCCCACAATCGCTTATATACGATTTTAAAAATTTTCAATATATTTCGGAAAAGTAAAAATGCAGTTTTATTGTGTTTATCAATACCTATCGAAATGCAGTTTTTACTGCTCTTTCTCACTCTGGTAGCTCTCTTTTTCGGGAATTTCCCCTAATATACTGATTCTCTCTACATTTCCCAGCAATTCCCATAACTCCAAATTAATATAACCGGACAGCATTATCTATCTTAATTCGTTCTATTTCAAAACACATTGCTAGTTAATTTATTGGGAAATGAGAAAAACAGAAGCCAATGGAAGTCAAATCGTAGAATCTAATTTAATATCAACCCAATCGAGCGTGTCCTGAATTTAATTTCCGCTCAAAATAAAGGGAAAATTTACATACGCACCTTTAAAACGAATGTTTTGGCTTATTTCCTCAGAAGCACCTGTGCAACGAGGTGAATGTGTGAAAAAGTTGGTCAGAAGATCTCAAGAAGCGCACTTCCGTTCTGGACTAGATAATAGCCGTGAAAAGTAAAAAAAACAGTATTACACCAGTAGCAGTTAGTAGTTGCAACCCCAGAAAGTGACTTGTTCATAATATTTTGGTAGGGGGTTCAGCGGAGCGCAACCTTATAGAAGGTGTGTGTGTGGACTTCAGAGACCCTTATATTTAGATGGCCCAAAACCAGAGCGAAATAATTGTTGCGCAACTGGGCGAGAAGCCAACTCACTGATTTTCCCATGAGGAGTTGGACCATAAAATGTGGGAAAATAAACCCTCGGATATGATTGACAATGGGTCTGCGGGGTCTTTTTCGATTTTTTTCTGTAGCCTTAGCTGTCTGCCCATGGCAATGGCTTCATTATGTTGAACAGCTCCCACAGTAATAAGTAAGGCTTTCGGGCTGACTGACTGCTTGAAAATTGCACTTCGTGCAGGCGGTTTTCCAATTCATTTTGCTTAAATGTGTGGCGCTGCCTTTGGGCCCCGAAAATCTCAGTTAGTTGCACTGTGGAAGCCAAGGTGAGATCGCTAAACAATCGACCAGTAGGTTGTTCTTTTATGGTTTATATTTCACTGAAGCACTGAAGAAAAGGGATTCGATATTGATAAGTTTACGAACTTTGGAGTATTTAAGAAAACACCTAAACTTCTTTGATTGCTGGATCAAATTTTATAATAATTATAATTATAAATTCAAGAGCTTTCTAAATATTCTTCTTTATATTTTTTTAAGAGCGTTAATATATTAGATTCTTAAAATTAATTCTTCGGTTTGATTTGTGCTAAATATATCTGTAAGTTACAATAATATATACAGGCTATATTTCAATATGGAACCTTCATTAAATCGTTTTATTTTCTGAGAACGTATATTAAAAACTTCTATTAAAAATGTAATAATTTTTCCAAGTGAAAACTAAAACGAAATGCACATAATTCGAGCTCCACAGTAGACAAGATCGGTTCATGAGGAGTTCAATGTTCGCGGGTCACGACTTTGACTCCATCGAGCAGACATAAATCGGAGCAGCCAACAACTTGATGCGGGGACTTTGACAGACTGCTCGAGATCAGCGATTTCCTTGGGATTGGGCTGTGGATCGGGATCGGGACCAGGCACTTCAATCAATTGACGGAAGTGCCTTTTTCGCCAGCCAGCCAGCCAGATCATGATCATGATGTATGTTATTGGCCCCGAACCCAGAGCCTACCCATTTGCTATTTGTCAAATTTTCATTAGATGGCCATAAATTGAAATCACGCGGCATTTGTTTTTGGTCAGCACACAAATAAATTTCGCGCTGCCGCACTGATTCTCACGATCTCAGGACCAGTAGGATGGGATTTAAGGAGAGTTGACGGGGTATGGCAGCGGGTATGCCGGCACTAAAACTTTCTAGCTGTTCACACCAGCTGGTCGCGCGATCTGAGTTTCGGTCTTGGCCAATCGCCACCTGCACTTGGGAGTTTGGCAGATCTGCCAGGGGTCTTACACTCGAAGAAAAAGTTAGTTGGGAATAAGAAAGAAGAAAATTCTAGCCTTTTTTTTCTTATTAAATATATTCACTGAAATTATTTTTTTCCAGGTTTGCTTCTCCACCTTTTAATGATAATTTTATACACATTTTTACTCGTTAATCGTCACTCGTTACTTTTTAATAGTCACTCGTTAGTCGTCACTTGTTAATAGTCACTGGTTATTCGTCACTCATTACTCGTCACTCGTTACTCGTCGCTCGTTACTCGTTACTTGTCACTCGGTACCGACAAAACATTGTAAAAAAATACTTATTGATATTTTTCTACAAAATACACCCTATTTTTTTCCAGTTGATCAATTGGTGCTAGAGCAGGATCTGAGATGCTGAACCTGGTCCCCACACGTTCGAGTATGTTGCTTGGCTAAAAGCGAATTCCAGTTGCAAACCCATTTTTGGCACGATCGCCGAGCGAGCACAAAACCTTTTTGGGAAGAAGCCGCCACAAGGAGCATTGATTTGGAGTTGCATTTGGCTTTTGCTTTGGTATTGGCTGGCTATTGGGTATTGCCAATTGCCAGAAGGCGGGCAGAACGCACACGTGGCTACGATATGGGTATGGTATATGGGTATGTGGCCATTTGGGATGGGGTTTCGGTGGGGTTTGTGGTGGCCTGTGTTTTTGGGGGAGTGCCCAGGGGACTGCGGGCAGTGAGAGTTCGCAGGTGTGTGCTGCTGTATCTTTAGCTCTCTCGACTTGGATCGTGATTGCTGGCAGTTGGGCTTTGACTTGGACTTGGATTTGGTTTTGGACTTGGACGTCGGGCATCCAGCTGTGAGAACGCACCCACTTGGACGGCACACACACTCACTCGCTCACACACCCGCACACCACACACCCACAATCAGGGGGTCCAGACGAGGCCAGCGGCAAAGATCGTGTTCATGCGGTGGCTTTATGAACACACAGAGGAACCAATAGAGGGAACCAAAGGTAAAAGTTCGAA